GACTCTTGTGTTCCAAGCCTGCCTCAGATACCCCTGAGGCAGGCTTGGAACACAAGAGTCAGGGTGGCTTCTGGGTAATACAAGATGGCTAGGCCTCAGACCGACGAAGCCTCTTGGATGAGGGGCGAAACGTTTCTTTTTAACAAAAAAACGAAGTCCAGATGACATGATTCAACCTTTTTTGTTGTTATATACCTGGATGACTGAGAAAACAAACTTTGTGATTCTAATGACTTATTTTGACCACTAGAGGGAGCTCTTCGCTTAAATCAACAGAAGGCTGAAGAGTCGTGGCAGGTCTAAGTGCTCAAATAAAGGTCCAGCTCCACAGGAGAAACATGCTGCACTGGTGAATGATTGTCTATAAATAAATAAAAATAAATTAAAATGCAACAAAAACAGAGTTCTTATACCTGGTGAAAAGTCCAAATTTTAATAATTTAAAATGCAAATATTACAGCTTTTCAACCTTTTGCTATGATGATAACTAATATGTTCATTAACAAAGTGTGACAACATTAAAAGATATTTTTTTTAATATATATATATATATATATATATATATATATATATATATATATGTAAAAATATTTTTGTTATATACAATTAAAGCAAATTATTTGCGATTATCTACATAAAATGTGAGAAAAAGGCTCTAAAACTGCAACACTTGTGTAAATCCAAATCTTTAAAAAGGATCTTTCTTTTAAAAGGATATTTTAAAAGGTCTTTGAAAAGGAGTGAAATGGCAACAAAGCTAGCGCACAAAATGTAACCAACAAGGCGGCTGGTGTGAGAGAAAAGGCCAGTGAAGCTTGTCTCATTCGTTAATTCTTTAAAAACAGACAACAGCTCTTCGCAAAAGCAATAAAATCATAGCTTCAGACAGTTCTTTACTCAAAACGTAACCATGTTTTCCAAAAACACAACGTGAAAAGTCAAATGTTTCAAACTGAACCCTGGAAGAAATCTGATTTTAGGATTAAAGCTGATCAAAACTGAAGCGATCAGAACGGACGTGGTGATTTCATGTCTGAAACTGGGAACCATTAAACAACAAAATGAACAATGCGTCTGGACAACCACTAAGGGGTGAGTTCAAATCCATGTCAGGTGATGTAAGACTCACGCATGAATTAACAAAAAGAAGCTTCGCTGTTGTCGCCCTGTCTGCGTGAAAATATGCAGACACACACACACACACAGGCTGCATGGACGGGGCAGAAGGTGATGACAGACCCATTGTATGAAAAGAGACAAGATGCAGAATGAAAACGTAATGATTATGTCAAACCTGGCCCTTCCAGCTTTCTCCCTTTTAGTTTGTGCAACAGATTTGTCACCGTCAGCCCTGACAGCTGAGTCGGAGTTCACCTGAGGATGAACCTCAAACTGCTGCTGAGATCAAACTGGAAACACGACGGGAATCATGTAAAAGTAAAAACCACGCGCTGAGGGACGGCGTGCCTCTGAAACGTAAAGATGATTCTGTATATGCTCCTCCGCGTTGGGGCTTTTTTTGTTAAAATGTCAAACTGAGTTTCCATTCAAGTGGGAAAGAAGAGCTCAGCAGATTGGATGCAGTGCTGCATTTCTGCTGCTAATTTTATTTTTACACTTTATAACATCTGTTAGGAGCAATCAGACTGGTGGGAAGTATCTTCTTTTTTCTTTTTTTTACACATGAGAGCTGTTAAAACCATCAAAACCAAGTCACCTGAAGAGATGATGAGAAGGAGCAAAGCAGAAAGAAAAGAGTGGGAAGTTTAAACTTTATATTCCCCTGACTGAATAAAGAATATGAGATCATGGGGAAACGAAACGACAGCCTTGGAGAACTCCACATCCACATGAATTAGGATGCAGCCCAATCATTTTCACTGATAAATAACACCTAGTTTTTTAATTATACAAGAATACAGACCTCGGGGTCCGGGAGACGGTGCTTGGGGTCCACCAAAATGGAAAAAAAAAAAAAAAAAAATTATATATGTATATATATATTATTTATTTATTTTTAAAAGCATATAGATGTTTAACGGCCATTAAAATACACCAAAAATGCAGGAAATCATCTACTTTAGTCAAAATTTCTGGGGGAGACCTCTGTTCAGTTTTATGTGAAAGAGTTTTCTGTAATAATCTGAAGAAGTGGCGATACATTTATTATGTTCATTGTGTGAATAGGTAAAGTTTTAAAGTGGTTTTTGATGCTGTTAATTTCCTCAAAACTGTCACTTTTTGAAGTTGAAATTAAAAATGTTACTCATTAAGTGTGTCTTGAATGAAAAATAACCCCATGTTTAAATAAAAGTATAAAAATTGCATTACCACTACTAGAGAACAGCTTTTAAGTATTTAATTTACTCAAATATTTCCATTGAATTAAAGAGACAAATTGAAGAAAATTATTTAATAAACATGAGGGTTATGAGGGGGTCCCTGAACCCAAAAAGTTTGAGAACTCCTCATTTAAGGAAATAAGTGCAAACTCTGCTTGGTTAAAACACTGCGAGGACAAAAAGGAACGATTTAACCCTGAGCTGAACCACAGAGAGAGTAAATCTGAGTTTATTTCAGTTGAATTATTTTTGCTTCTTTTCATTCTTATTTAGCTGCTGCCAAGCTTCAAACACATCTCAGATCGTTTAACATCTGGTGGTTTCAGTTTTATCTCCCTCTCTGCTGCGTTCAAAGCTCTCTCCTTCTTTCTTCCTTACAAGTTGTTTCCTGAAAAACACAACGTCTGCACTCCTCGTTCTTGTGGTCGACAATACTTTGTTGTTAGACTCACTGCGCTTTATACAGAAGGAGTAACGTCGGGCATTCTTGTCCTTTCCCTGATTTTATTGTGCATCCTTGAGCTTTTATTTAACCGGCGAGGTCCAGTTCCAGGACTCCAAGGTGTCCTGATGCAGATGGCGGATGGAAACAGATTCATATACCGGTTTCATAACAAACAGAAACACTTTACGATTAAGCTTATTTGTTTCCCTGGACTAACTTTTATTTTAAGCTTTATTTTTGTAGTTTGTCACTGTGAAGCAACATGCAGAGATTTCCAAAGAACCTCAGGTTGTGTAACCCTGTCACAGAACATTTAACCAGCTCAAACACACCCATAATCCATCTACTGAAAGCAAAGTCAGAAACCAAGAAAGTGATAAGATGCTAAAATCACACGGAAAAATGCAGACAGGAAGTGACAGTGCCCCCTGACATAGCAAGTTGAGCTTTTTCTAAGAAGTCCTTCCTCCTCTGATATAGCAGTCCAACATGAACGCCCAGACACAAAGTGTGCACTCTCTGAACCTCATTAGTATTTTTGAAGGGAACTCCTCAGGTCTATTATTTTATTCACAATGTGGATTAAAGTAAACTGTCATCCTAACTGAAGAAAATCGCTGCAGTCCAATGGTCTCCCATTATAAAGAACAGAACGTGTGAATGAAACCAGGAGTAAGTGATGGTATAAAGACATTTCCATAATGCGCTCCTTTGGGACATCTAAAGTAGCAAATGAGCTAAAATACGTTGTTCAGACAGAAGATGAGAGGTTTGCAAGAAAACATTTTCAAAGTATCTCTAGATCGTATCATAAGTTCTGATATCATCAAGTCTCTCACACATCTATTGATTAACTAAATTTAGCATCAAATTTGCTTCATTGAACTTAGAATGAAGAACCAATCAGAGGAGACCTTCTGTCACGGGTTGTAGAAACTGACAGCAATTAAAACAAAGTATTAAAGTAAGTTAAAATGGCACATATTGTACATGTGGTCATCTTTAAATAAAGCACAAATATTAAAAATATGAATCTGTATTCATGTTTGGCGTGGACCTTTGAAGCTGTAATGACCAATTGTGCCACAAGAGGGCAGCAGAAACTGATGCCACAACCTAGAATTTACACATTCAGCTCAAAGTAAAAAAAATAAAAAGACAGCATCCATCCATCCATCCATCCATCCATCCATCCATCCATCCATCCATAATCTTCACCCGCATCTTCCTGTCCAGGTCGCAGGGACAGTTAGCATTCCTTTGAAATTTACTTTAGTTCTGATTTTATTTTCCATTATTTTTGCTAAGAATCAGGCTCCTAAACACAGTTCATTTGTCCTCTGTCTGACTACAGGAAGGATGTTACAGAAATGTTATTAAAAAGTATTTTATACACGTATTTTTCACTAACTCCTTATGAACACACTTCTCTCTATTAAACACACATACCTAATTAATGAGAGTCCAGTCCTATGAGGAATAAAACACTTCAGTGTTTCTAAACTAAAGTCCAGTTAAGACATGATTTATTCCAGTAAAGCCTCTCCTGTCATCTGTGCACTTGTTCGTGTAAGAGGGTGCATGTGTCATTTTAACTGACAGCTGGTGACTTTTAGTTAATCTTGTCTAATAAAACCAATTTTTTTTTAAACAGCGAGACTTAGTCTATGCTGTATTCACTTCACTTTTTCAAATAAAATGATTACTTAACATTTCCTGTTGAAACACATCTAAATACTCGTCTTTATAAGGAGCCACTAGTTCATCAATCTTATCAAAAAAGCAGCATTACTTCAAGGTGAGGTTCTTCTAAAAGGCTTTCTGCAACAGGTAAGATATTGTTTGCAGCATTTTAACAGAACCGCACTCTCAAAGAGCCGAAGTCTCGTCTTAATCTGACAAGATTAGGGCAGTTTTACAAGACGCATACATTCACAGAAGGTTCTCTTGTGACAGGCTCACACCCCACATGTTTGTGTGTAGTTTGTATACATCATGTGTTGGAGTCAAGTGGAGCGTATGTGAATTCAAAAAGGGGTGTGGAGACGGACGGAAAGTTCATGCCGACCGCAGGAATGTCTCAGCAACATGTGCATCAAATCCTCCTGGTTTCTGGTGAGCAGACTGAGTGCTCCTTTATTGACCCGTCTCAGGTCCAGTCAGGGAAGCAGCAGGGAGGCCTGACGCTCACCAGGCAGGACTTAACACACGTCTGATCTCTGACTGTTGACACGGTGGGAAACCTCTGCTGACAGACATTTTGAAAGTCCCCACTTGCCGGGACAAATATCGTCTGAACTCTTGACTCTTGTGGAATCAAACAAGTTTACACCTTTTTTTTTTTTTTTTTTTTTCAAGGGCTGAAGGAACGATTGAGCCGTCTGAGCTCACAGGAGCTGAAAGATTGACTCCACTAAACACCGGCTATAAAGCCTAATCTTAAACCCCAAATTTGACATTACGCTGCCTTTTATTCGAAACATAAAATCCTTTCTTTTAACGCTTGTTACGCATCATTTTATGCCTGAGCTCTTAATGTGTGTCAGGGGAGACTTTGAGGTTTAGATGGCTTTCAGCAGCTGTATACGCCACACAACAGTAGTGGGTTTTTTGCACTTACTGCGTTTTAAATAAGATCTAAAACATGTATTTTTGCAGAGGTACACCATCGAAGGATAAACATCAAGAATAGCAGTGTGGTTAAACAAAAAAGGATGCATTCATTTCCTGTGCTGGTACAAAGTTTTGTGCTTTGACTCAATGCAAATCGCACAGACCCAGGTAAGAACACAGCTTCCCCCTCCCTTTTGACTGAAGCGAGGGGCCCCTGCGCTCTGCATACTTTAATAACTCAACTCACATGCTCTAAAACTCCAGGGAGGGCAGTGCAACACTTAATTACACCCAGTCAAACTTGAGTCAGACTGCTCAGCTCTCAGGGTCCCTGGCAGCAGAGGGAACTATGAAGCTCACATGTTTATGCCTGGATACATGTTTTAAATCCACAACAAGTGGAACAGTTTGGTTTCAATTCACCTCATGCAAAATTAAAAATAAAATAAAAAACTGAAACGTCATGACTTCACTGCAAATTGTAAGGTTCATTATCCAGTCAAGCTTTATCGTTAACTGTTCTTTATTAGCATAAAAAGCACAGAAAAACAAATCAAAGTCTCAAAACTGTATCCAGGGTAAAATGTACTTAGTTTCATGATGGTGATACAAAGATAAAGAACTCTTCATGGCAGCTGTTGGATGCTGAGTGCTAAACCAGGTCTGTAATTGAAGACGATGATGCTAGGCCCTTGTTTTGCCATCTTCGCTCTGTCAACAAAACGTGGAGCATTTTCAAAAAACACCTTTTGTCAGTATTAGAACATATTGCGGGTCGTTCGGTGGTCGCTATAAATAAGACATGAATGGCGATGAATATTTTTGTTCATGCCTCTACTAAGCTTCATGCTAAGATCTGTTCCTGTTCAGCACTAAGATGATTGTTAAGTCATCTGTGTGCCAAAAATACTGAACGTTTCAGCAATTCAAACTATAAGCATCTTTAATATTTATTCAGCCAAAGTCGATAAGAGCTTTTGGAATGAAGATGACAAGGAGATAGATGGGGAGAATGCTAAAAAAAAATAAAAGAAAATAATAAAAAGAAAAAAAAAATCCTGCATTTTCTTTCTTCTTAGCTATAAAACAAACAAACAAACAAACAAACAAAAAATCAGTTACTGTTAGAAAACTTTTGATTACAGTAGTCCCTCGCTACGTTGCGGTTCGTTTTTCGCTGACTCGCTTTATCGCGATTTTTCAAAATAAGATTGGACATGACACACAGTGGCTGATTGATGGATGAGCCACACCATCAGCATGGAATTTTTATTTGAAATAAATTATTTTAAAGGACTTTGCACCTGTGTGCAACCCACATCTGTGGGAGAAGCTTCCTCTTGCAGCTGATCAGCTGATCTAACTGATCTCAGTGCAGAGTGGAGAAGTGGGCGTAGCCAAGAGAGCTGAAATGGCTCTTTTAGAGAATTTAGAGTTTAGAAACATTGTTTAGAATACTGCAAGAGTGTATTATATATATATATATATATATATATATATATATATATATATATATATACTGTATATTTACTGTATATGTATAAATACTAAAATAAACTACTAATTCATGTTTTTTCACTTATTGCGGGGCTTCATGGTACAGATCGCCCCCGATAAACAAGTGACTACTGTACAAGAAAACATTAACTAGATAAATACATGTTTCTGTAAAAATGCAGTGTGAATGCTTAGAAATGGTTGACTGCTGAAATTTGATGGGAGAAATGGAAACTGAGGCACTAAAGCTAAAAGAAGCCAAACACCAGCTAAAAGCTAAAAGTAGTAAAATGCCAACTGATAGCCGAAAGTAGCTACAAATAGCAAAAAGCTAGCTAAAAATTAAAAGTAAGAAAATGTTAGTTTAAAGCTAAAAGCAGCAGGATAGCTAAAAAAGAAAAAATAACATATTGTCAGCTAAAACCTGAGCATAGCAAAAAGCTAGCTAAAAATTAGATAAGTGTTCTGCGATCGAGTTAATTTCAAAGCAGTCTGCTCTTCAGATAAATCATTTTAACTTATTTTTATGTTTCTGTTCAGTGCCCTGAGATGACTTCTGTTGTGACTTGGAGCTATGTTAATAAAATGAACTGAAATCGAACTGAATTGAAAAATGAAAAATAAAAAATGTTATTTAATGATTGCAAATAGCTAGTGAAAGGCTAATGTTAACAAAGCACTAGTTAAAAGCTAAAAGTAGTAAAAGGCTAGCAAACGGCTAAATGTACTAAAGTTATTTCTAAAAGTAGGAAAGGGTAAGTTAAAAGTACAAAAAAACACTAGCTAAAAACTAAAAAAGCTAACCAATTGTTAAAAATCCTAAAGTATAAAGTCCATCCAAAAGCTAAATAAAGCACAAAAGACAAAAATAAAAAAAAAAAATAAAAAAAATAATAAATAAAAAAAACCAGCATATTGCTGAAGCAGATTTTGTCAGTATTTTTGAGGGAATTTAAGAGATCAGTATATTTCTTTGGGAAAATATTTCTTGTATCTAGTTACAGAAAAGGTAAAAGAACAACAGTTTATAGCACCCAAGCCCTGATGGAGCTGAACGTTCTGATATATGAATGGCTAAAGTAGCACAGAATATGTAGGAGTTGGATTGCAAAAAACATGGGAAAAAACACCAATGACCAGGAAAACAACAGCGTTTAAAATCCCCAGTTGTTGGTTTTACTTCTACATGTGGAGCTACAGCTGCTGAATATTAGCTGGTTACATAATCTACATGAATCCGTTTAGATGAGATTAGTTTAAAAAGAAAACAAAAAAGGAAACTTTTTTGTGATATTTTGTTATTTCCTTGAATCTTAAATCTAAAGTATCAAATCAAATACAAAGTGGGATTTTGTCTGAAAAATCCCTCTTCACAGTCTATAAACATATTATTATTAGTTAAGAAAAATTTTAAACTAAATTTTGACATGCTTATTCTGTTTAATGTAATTTGTTACATATTTCTCTTAATTTTATTGTTGGTTTTATTCCAGTGAAAGTGATTTTAGGTTTTTTATTTAGGAAAGTCTTGTATAATTTATAAGCTTTATTTGTCTGATTCGTGCTGATTTCTCCACAGCAGAAAAGGAACACTCACCAGGTATCTCTCATCATCTTTCATCCCTGGAGTCCGGATCAGGTGGTTCTGCTCCCCCCTCCAGTCTCCAAAGCGACGGAAGAAATAGTTGGAGAGGAAGCGGTTAATGGGGTCACGGATGATGTTGATATAAACTGGCTCGTTTATTTTGAACCTGACAACAGAAAAACAGAGCATGCTGTGACAAACTGTGTGTTTGAACGTTTCTTCTTCTTTCAGCTGCTCCCTCCTTCAGTGGTCGCCACAGCGAACTAACTCGCTAAAAGACTTGGCGATTGTTTTAATGCTGAATGCCCTTCCTGACACAACCACAGACCACAGAGCTACCATAGCCCCTGTGTGCCATCTAGGGGGAAGGGGTTGGAAGTAGTTGTGTGCCATCTAGGGCATCCAGAAGAGAAGATGGTGGGGGTTAAGGGCCTTGCTCAAGGGCCCAGAGTGGGGCAGACGAGGGGTGGAGGCAGGTGTGGGTGTGTCAACTTTCCCACCTACATTTTTGGTGTTGTCGGTCCGGGGAGTCGAGTCACCGACCTTCTGATCACAAGTTGCTTTTTCACTCGCTTTTATATCTTAAATGTGACTTCCTCCAGTTATAATGGTACTTCCTCCAGTTATTTAACAGACAACAATGGTGTACCACAAGGCTCAGTCTTAGGACCCACCCTTTTCAGTGTGGTCAGAGCATCCCTGATGCATCCTTAAATTTCTATGCTAATGATATAGTTGTTTATTGTCGAGCTAAAACAGTTGCTAAGGTTTTCCAGCTTTGCGATCTGCTTTTGACATCATCCAGTCAGATTTATTCCGTCTCAAACTTGTCCAAAACACAGACAAAACAAAAGGGATGCTGTTTTCAAACAGGGAGTCGGTCCCAGCAGTTCTTCCTTTGATTTTATCCTCAAATGGTGCCATTGAGTTCATCGATTCCTACAAATACTTGGGTATCTTGGTTGATTCACATCACTATTTTAAGCTCAACGTGGAAAATTTGGGCAGGAAACTGAAAGTTAAACTGGGTTTCTTTTCAGAAATAGATCCTGTCTAACTCTGAATGCTAGGAAACACATTGTAACTGCTACTTTCCTTCCCTCCAGTGACCACAGTGACATTATTTACATGAATGCCCCTACAAGCACCCTGCAGATGCTGGATGCTGCCTATCATGATGCACAACTGTCTGTAACTATCGTACCCACCACTGCACCCTGTATTCACTGGTTAACTGGGCATCATTAACTTCACGCAGACTCGCTCACTGGTACATTTTCATCTTTAAATCACTTCTTGGTCTGCTGCCTTCATACATCTCGTCCTACATGTCTCTGTGTGAGTGCAGCTACAGCGTGCCGTGCGCTCTCAGGACATTATTACCTGCAGTGTTCCCTCAGTGAGAACTGAACTTGGCAAAAGGACCTTCTCCTACTCCGCTCCCGTTTCCTGAAATATCTTACAAAAAGATCTGAAGCTCTCGACCTTGACCTCTCTAAGTGGCTTCAAACAACTGCTAAGTTCTTGGCAAAAACCAATGCAGACATGTTCCTGTTTTTAGTTTTCTAAATCGCTTTACATTGTAGCTGTTTTTGTTTTGTTTTTTAATATAATTTTCTTTCTTTTATTTTTCCCAATTTATATGCTTTCTTTTATGATTGTTTACTGTTGTCATCATTCTTTGTCAAAATCAGGTCTCTCTTGTAAATGAGTCTCCGAGGCTCAATGGGATTAACCTGTCTAAATAAAGGCTGAATGAATGAATGAACGTTGTCTCTTCACCACCACTCCCCCACACCCACAATAAACTAACTACTGATAAAGATTTGATTATGCTGCTGCACCACTGCAACAAACCTTGTGAAATTGAGGAAGTGAACATGTCTCGTGTAGAGAAAAGGCTGGGGGATGGTACTGATGTTCTTCATTAAATCCACCTGTAGAGAAAAACACAAAAGTCTTTAATGTACAATTTCCAAAAGTCAAAGGTTTAACACTAATACTCCGACAGTATCCAAGACAAACTGTGCACATTTTAGACCTAAAAGAACTTCCTAATGATCATAAAACAGAAAATTGGTGCTAATACTCAGAAACTCCACCTTCTAAAAGCTGTAATTCAAGAGTTTTTGTCCTTTGCAGGAAAAAAAAAAGGACCTGAGGGGGTTTCCAGGTCTGCGTGGGGAAACGTGTGATGACCAGCCAAAATACACTATTGTCAGTCATCTCTGACTGAGGACTGTGCAACTGCTTCCAAAAACTTGCCTAAATACCTCCATATTGGATCAATGTAAAGTAATACTGTATGCGACGCGTTACATCTCTGCAGTGAAACTGCACTGTTTTCAAAAAGAAAAAAAAATCTTTGTGGTTTTGTGGTTTTTAAGCACTATGGGTGGCATTTACTCTCTGATGGGATACTCAAGATGCAAACTCTACTAAGATCCACTTTAACACAATATTTTCCCTCGTTCTTTTACGTTCCTTTTCTCCTTATAGCGATTTTAGAATTATAGGAAAATCCTAAGGAATCTACAAAGTTTGCCTGCCTGGATGGTAACCATTTGAGAATAAGTTCCAATGTTCAAATCTCATGTTAGGAAAAGTACAATAGGACGTGTGTCAAACTCAAGGCATGTGTGCCAAATCTGGCCCTTGTTAGAATCTTATCTGGTCTCAAGATGATATTTTAGAAGTGAAATATGTTTTATTACTTCTTATTTTGCTTACAAAACTGAGCATTCAGTGCAGACTGCTCATGACAGCTGGCTCACGTTAAAACTTCCCAAAAGATTGAATTTTTCCATGATCTTTGATTCTGACATGCAAGGAACAACAGACATCAAATCAGACAGGTCAAACTCTTGTTGACAAATCTGCAATCAAGACAAGATGTTGGGTATCTGATTCTGACTTGAGTTAATGCACTGACTGAAACTGGCCCAGTTTATGTCTGACATAGTCTGACATGGCTGCATTAGGGTAAGACTAGAAAAAAAATTCTTGAAGGTTCACAAATTCTCAGACTGTATGTGTATGTGCTTTATGCATCTGAAAAGAACTGCAATGATCGATAAATCAACCAAACGTAACTGGAGGCGAATCCAAGATAAGATGAAACTTTTCTCTAGGCATCTTGGCTTCCCGGTGGGAGTCAGGAGAGCAGCAGTACGTGCCTTTTTAATGAGTCTGAACCCTTTCAGTGAAGCGTTGCTCCGGAACAAAATCTACGAGCTCCAAGGCAGAAAAAGTCAAACTGGATGAATTATTTGCTATGAGTTTATAGAAGCAGAAAGCAGACCGACAATCGACTCATATATATATATATATA